TGAGTGTGTTACAAATGTTATTGATTTGAAAAAACACATGACTGAAATTTTTCTCTTAGAAATTGTTATGTGAGTACCCAGGTCACTGTTAGTCATCATCATAATCTCTGGACTGTCTTCGTTAAAAGCATGAGTGTTCCTAGCTTTTTTTTTAGCTTTTCTGTGGTCCAGTAATGCTTCAGGATAAAGCATAAGGATTGCAAGAGTACACATAATGAGAAAGTTCCTATTCCGAGATCTTTGGGAAGAGTAGGCAAAGCTGTCAGGATGCAGCTGCTGCAGAAGAGGATGTGAAAGCATGACAACTGCATAGCAAGGAGATGTGGTTTTCATCTCAGTTGCACAGTAGGAAGCACTTAATAAGTTTTCTGTTCTCCTTAGAAACTTTTGAACCTACAGCCTTTTGGGATAAAGGTGCTTGGAGAATGCTTGTTGCTGACAAGTAAATAAAAACCTCCTATACACAACTAAAAGGAACAGAAGTTCTTTCTGAATGAAGTAAGATGCTGAAATGCATCTTATAGTAAGAGACCATCAAGACACAAAATCAGTCAATCTGGTTCTAAAAGTCCTGCTTGGCTATTGTACTTTTCAGGTGTTTGTGAGAGGTTTGTTCTTACTCAGGGGCATTCAAAAGGAACAGTGTTTGGAAAGTGTAGCTTTCTCTGATAGTGCAGACAGAGACTATTTGTAAGGCTTAAGAGAAAAGTTTTTGGGAGAAGTGCCTGAGTGACAAGGAGTGATGCATTTGTTCTTTCAGTCTCCTGTGTGGAGTTGCAACAATACCAATGTCGGGAACCTTTTGACATTCCCTGAGGAATAGTTTGTCCGCACAAGCAGAACAAAACCCGTATTTTGTCTCTGTGTAAGACAGTGAAAAGATCAGAAGAAAAAAAAGAGCTTTCACAAATACGTATGGTGGTGATTTATCTGCTTCCTAACAGATAGGGTGAGGAGGAGACAGCACTGACATTTAATGTGGACCATGGCACCTGCTACAACTGAGCACCATAAAGCATTTTTTCCCCTTGATCCTTCACACAAGTTGTTTCAGGAGACTTATTTGTTCTTTTCCTCTGTCATTTATTTAAATAAATTCTCACCAGCTTCTGCGACTCATTTACCCCCCAAGGGGCTGGCTATGCTGCCAACAAAAGATTGAAAGATTAACAAACTAGCTATCTCAGTCAGAGAAAATCCCGCAGGTACTTTACCTGCCATTGCTTTGTCTGAAGACACTTGAATGTCTGATAGATACAGTAAGTGAGTTTTACTTTTGGTTGTAGCCCATTTTCACCAGCAGAGTATTTCCTTCCTCCTTGGGCACCTGAGTGGTCTTTTGAGCATTCTGAGTGGTCCTGCAGGGATTTCAGAGATGTATATGAGAAAATTAACCTAGTACTCCCCAAAACCCCTTAGCACTATGTCATGGCCCAGTAATGAGCTGCAAAGTTAGTCTGGTACCTGGAATACTGATGGAGTACCAGTTGGGATGCCTGTCAAAGCCTTCAGTCTCTAATTTTAGTAGGTGGGTTTTTCTGCCTTCCTGCTGTTGACCCTCTGCAAACAGCCTGCATTCCTGCTCAACTGTTTTTTTCCACCCAGTCCCCTTCTGCTTTTGGGTGGCCTGTTTTTTGCTATGGAAAAAAAGAGAGTCAGGGAAGTATGGAACCTTCTGCTCTGGAAATCTGTTGCCATTCTTTTAGAGCTGTGCACCATTAGTCTGGTGAGCAGTGACATGGGAGAAAAATGACAACAGTAATTTGGAAGCTGAGAGAAGCAACTGCATGCAGGCATTGGCAAGATGTAAGTATCTTTAACTTGGATAAGGCTACAGCAAAATGAGTTCAGTGAAGCTGAAGGAGATACTGCCAGTGGGAGGAGGAGTGGAACTGGGAAAATAGGTGCTGTGCACATTGGGATTATTATATTCTCTGTGAGGCACCATGAAAAATACTACGCATAACAGATGCAAGAAGATGCCAAAAAGATTGTTATTTCCTGATGGATGTGTTAAAAAAATTAAAGGTAGAAACAGATGCAGAGTGGAGAAACTCTATATTCTTAGTTGGATGTAGGCCCTAGAAAATACTATTGTAAGAGAGCATCAGAATTAAATTGAAGGAATTCCTTAGAACGTTAAAGAATGAAATGCCATTTATAATGTACAGAAGCAAGCAAGCTATTTTGAATACAGTCTGTCATATGTTTGGAGGTGAACTTAAGTTTTGATTTGTAATGTCAATTCTATGCCTGCTGGGGTAGTCCCTTGTCTTTCAAATATACTTGGAGAACATTCTGTGCTAGTGCAGTGGGTAGCCCTTAACTTCAGTCTTCTCCTCATCCTCCAATACCTTAAGTGTAGTATAAAAAAAACAAATGTGAAAACATAATGGTAACTGCTACATATATGAAGGATGGTATACTTTTTTTATTTTTAGATAGTAGCATTTGAGTTATGGCCACTGGACTGATGGATAATGATCAGCTGATTTTCTATCTGACAGATGTTATGTATTTGTCTCTGCATGCTTTTTAAATCAAATTTATAAATGAAAATTCACATACATGAAAGTGCGTGGGATAGCGTTCTTCATCATCTTCCTGGGTTGTCTAGTGTAGTGCAATGAAGGGAGATTACATCAGAGGATAGAGAGTTGAGCTGGAGAGGAAAAGGAGGGATTTGAAACAAGTGCACAAGGTGGGCAAGATGAAACTGTGGTGCAGAAGAGAGTAGCTTCATATAGCATGAGTTGTAGAGCAGATTTTCTCCATTAAAAAAGTAACCATTTAGGGACCAAAACATCCATGCAGGAGAGAAGAAAGAAAAAAACAAGTCTGCAAGACAGGTTTGAGAAGGTTTTTGGTGTGTTTTGTTGTTAATGTCATTCTATAGATCTTTATGTGAACAGCAGTCAGCTCACAACAGTAGTACTGTCTCACCAACTAAATGGCTGAAATTAAATGGGCAGGAACTGTAGCAACACTGGTATTTTGGCACTGGGAACAAATTTTAACAGCTTTACTATGCAAAAGGAGATCCTGAGTATTTTCTGTTCTGAAATATATTTTACTGTCTCTACTTGCTCTGGTGAGCATGTGGAGAAATATATTTAGGACACCTATAGTTAAGAAAATACAAACACCCACAAAAAGCCATGAGACTGTGTCTGTAAATATGGATTCATTCTCCTTATTTTGATATTTCCTGTCAAGTGCAGCCCTCACCCATTTTAGTGAATACATACTATAATGCTATATCTAACCGAGAATGTTGATACACATACTTTGTATATTTTCTCAAAGTTGCATCCTTGAATGTCCATGTATAGTTTTTATATTTTTGCTACTTATGGAAAAGATTCATTTGGACTTGACCTGACTGTTTTCACGCAAGATGGGAACTTTCTGCTAAATCTCCAGGTCAGAACTTGCAGTTACTGACTTTGGTTAAAGAAAGTGGTTTATTTGCATGCTCAAGTCATCTTTCAGACTTGCAGATTTTACTCATGCCTTCATTTCTTGCTCAGAAGTATTCATTTCTTTTATTACAAAGTATTTAGAGATATAAAGATTAAGAATATTTATTCTTTTTGCTGGAGTGACACAGGTGAAAGGCACTTTGAGGGAGAAAAGGAAAATGTTCTTTCTGGTGGAAACATGCAGTCAGCATCAGTAATCAAATTTCTGCCCCTCCCTTCCTGCACATCAGAGCAAATCAGGTTTGATCTTTATCTGCCTCTGTTTTTCTATCCATGAAATGAGAGTACCAATATTTCCCAACCTTAGCAGAATTTTAGAGAAGGGACTGTGGTGCTTTGCTTCCTATATGAACAACACTAAAAGGATGAGACTTTCCTTATCCAATTCTTATTCTAAATACAGCCAATTGTCAATCAAAACCTGACAGCCTTCCATATGATTGGTCTCCAGCCCCGTCTGTGTCCCTTCCTACACAAAGCACCGAGTATTTACACAGAGACAACATTCCTGTTCCCACATTGCACACAGAACTGCATTCATATACAGCAAATAAGTAGTGTTTTTAAGTTAGCAATTCATGTCTAATTATTAGAAATTACTCTGTTAATTATCAGAAATGATTGTGTACAATGCTGGTATGATAGTCTTCTCTGATTCTTAATAATACAGTTGCTAATGGCAGTTTTTACAGATTATCCAGTGTGTGCCACTCGCAGCTAAGTATCACCTCCCCCTGTTCCAGGTATTCTCACTTAAACTGGTGCCCCAGGCCGGGATCCTGCAAACCCCTCTATGCCTGGTTGAAAGCCCACCGTAGTCAGCAGGAGTTTTCCCATTCAATTCAGTGGGCTTTGTGATAGGGACAGAGCACTGTTGGTTCTACTATTTCCAGGGTTCAGTTATTTATTAGATAAAAGTCACATGCACAAGCTGAGGTTAAACCAAGGTAACAAGGCGCAGAGGAAAACAAATGGTTTGATATCTGCAGGATAAACAATTTCTATGAAGAGTTTTAGTTTGTTTTTTGAGAGGTCTTTTTAGTACAATTTGATCCTCTGTGAAAGGAGTTTGTTCTAACAATAATCTAAATAAGAATCTAAACAAGATTCATAATAAAGAAAACATGCTTTGCTTCATAGAGACAGTGTGACAAAGTACAGTTTCAGTTCCCTTCCGAGTGGTTGTATGGCAAAACCATTTAACAAAAGGGATCGGGTTGTAAGAAGACATACACGTAGATGGCAGAAAGGGCTGTTGCTGGCCCTGTCAGAGGTTTCATGTAGGTACAGAGCTGTTCCTTGTGCTAGTCTGATGTGCAAATGACAAGGTAAGGAAATGCACAGAGATTCTGTTCTTCTGGGGCACAAATAAAGCTTAAGCACTCGGTATTGAAATCTATGGCTTTTAATAACAAAAGACCCACTGGGCAAAGCCTATGGCTATTGTATTGCTGAGCAGGTGATTAACATCCATCCTGGGCTACAGCTGTTTTCTTCTTATGTTTGTTCCATATGCAGATGTTGCTATGAGGAAAGGGGTCAGCAATGACTGATGTGGAGCCTGTGGTCACAGATTTTGCAGCGTCAGGACGAGCAGGCCGCCGGAACGCTTTACCAGATATTCTGGGCTCTCCTGCTGGTGCTGGGACTTCAGACCTGCCACACAAACTGGCTGAGCTCTCCGTTTCAGAAGGTAATAGCTGCACATTCAAGAAACAGACATTTTTACGCAGTCATCCTTTGCTTTCTCCATAAGACTTCTGCCACCGTGCAGTTTTACTGTCAATGCTAATATTTCTTTCTTCATTTAGGATTAAATTCAACCTTCCAAAGCAGTTACCTCTTGTACCTCCTGATGAGACAAGTTAATTTTAACCCAGACTAAGTCTGCCATATCCACCCACAGATTCAGTGTTCAGCAGCCGGAGGAAAGGTGCTGGGAACTGAATTCCAGTTTCCCTGAGGGAGAACAAACACTAGTGCATTGCTGGGCAGCTTGGAAAACCATCACTCCAGCTATGAATTAGGGTATACTCCTGCAGTGAGGTAATTTAGCACAAGACAGCAAGCTGTGCTGTTAATCCAGTTACAGCTATCCTAATTTGGGCATATACATTAAGAATAGGGTTTACAGTGATTTACTCCTGCTAGTAGGCTTTCAGCTTTGCTATCTGAGACCAGTGTCCTATTTTGCCATGTCCTTTCATTTGATAAGGTGCTATGTTGATTTAGCACAGGTCTAATCAAGACCAGCTTTACCTTTGAATTCTTTTTACTTTCAGGGGGATTTTCAGATTCAGGAAAATCTGTTTTCTAATGCCTATGAAGTGAGAATTGTAGGTTGGCCCTACTTTTTTAGGTTCTGATTTGGAAGTAACTTTTCTTCTCATGCCAATCACTGTTGCTGCTGTAAAAAATGCCACTGAAACTGGTGGTTCCACATCCTGGAGCAGCGATGGTGTGGGTGCAGCACAGCGGGAGGCACACCTGTGCTGGGGAGTGGAGAGTCCACGAATCTGAACTGGAGTAGATTACAGGAAGGATTCCCAGGCTCCGAGGATGCATGTCCTGCTTCTATGTTGCCTGAAGCAATTACAGCATGTTGAGTTTACAGCCTCCTAAAGCACCATGAAGGCTGGGAGGGGGGGTGTCCTTTGATTACAAGTTGTTCTCGCTTTGGTGATTTAATTTATATTCATGTATTTGGGGTTCCAAAATCTAAACTCAGCATCAGCCCACTGGAGGACTGTTGGGCAGGCAGAAAGAACATTTCCAGGAGGGGTGAGAATGGACCAAATGACCACATCCTGGCTTGACCCTGCGAAAGAGAGGAAAATGAGAAACTGAACGGGTGCTGGAAAGAAGCATTACTTTTGCAAAAGGAAAGTGCAAAGATTTATGAAGGAGAGAGGGTGGACATAAAGAAGAAAAGAATAAGACAAGGTCAGATACCCTCAGGCTGCGGGGCATTAGTGAGGGGAACGGGGAGAGTCTGGAAGAGCAGGTGGGAAGGACAGCAGGCACTGTGTCAGCGTACATTCAAAGTAAAGCTGGGAGCCCTGTGAGTCCAGTTAAAACTCCTTTGTTTCAAGGAGAGATTTTTCCCTAGAAATACGAAAAGTGTGTCCCTAGAGGTTTTCTCCTTCTGGTGTGTGCAACTCGAGCACTGGAAATCCATTCCAAAGTACAGTCAATTAAGACTTTATGCTTTGGTTTTCAAATATTATGGGGGGTTTTATTCCAAATAGCTCTTCTGCCTGGCACAGTCAGGCTCTGGCAGGAGAGAACTGTTTCCCTTATCAAAGGGGAGGTAGATGGGAATTTATATTGTTATTATGAAGTGACCAGTCCAACCCACTGGAATATGCATTGCTGCATTATGTGTAACTAACCTTTGTATTGTTTAGAGCAGTGACCTTTGAGGGAGATGCACCGTGTTAACCATGTTAAGCAAAGCACAAAAGAATGCAACAGCTGTAGATAAGCTCCTTGTGTTTTTTTCATTTTGGCCTCTGGAAAGTTTAGTAGTTAGAAAGAATATACTTTATAAAGCATGCAAAATTTCTCTCTTCAATTTTCTTTTTTTTTCCCCCCTGGATAAAAATAAGCATGAAAGAGTGAAAGTCTTGTTAAAAGAAATGTTACAGCACAGCATAAAATAAGTACTTAGCCCTCCAGACAGAATAATCTTCTTCTGGTGCCCATCCAGTACATTAAGAAGAAGAAATGAAACACAGCTGCATTAGTTTTAGCAAAATGTACTGGTGCTTTCTCACAAATACAAGGACCGGCACTGCCAGGATTTGAAGAACAATTAAGAGCATGGGATTATCCTTTGTTTTTGTCATTGATATGCAGCTATGCCAGAGCTGTCTGGAAGGAGCGGATTCTGTTATCAGCAGTTTGCAGTAATGATAATAGGAAATGAATACAGGGTGCAGTTAGGTCCACTCTGACTGCTTGGATGCTTTTTGGGGTTGGGAATTCCACAAGTATCTGAGGGGAATTACAGCCCCACTGTGTTGTAAGTTAAATTTCTGATGAGACAGCAAGCAAAAAGAGGAGAATTCATCAAAATGGAAAGTAAGTTTGAAAGTTCAAATGCTGTGACAGTGAAACAGTTTGTGAAATGTTTGGGTTCTAACAGGCATCTCTTTTTGCCCGTTTCTAGCTCTAATAATAAGTTGTTAAAAAAAAAATGAAAGCCATTTCCATCTCGGAACAAAGTAGTTGGATAAATGAGAGAAATGGAGAAGATGGAACATGTGGCTATATAAAGTATGCCCTATTTTTTTCCACTCTGAAAGATTCAGTGAAGACTGGAAAATGGTGAGGAGAACTCTCTCCATCTTGCTTCAAATTTAGCTAAGGCTCATTGGATCATACATTTTCTTTCTTTCTGAAATGCTGTCAGCTGCTGTCATAGTGAAAGGTCAGGAACAGGATGTGCTAGTACCTTTTGTCTGGCTTAGAAGAGAAAAGAGACTTTCTTTATTCTTTATGAACATACAAGGATCATAGCTGTGTGGTATAAATTTCCATGGACTCTGCAAGCTGCACTGAATTCATGTTCTCATGAGATGGACAGGAGAGATTTTGGCACCAGCTGTTTATCTCAAAGCCTAACTCTGAAATAAAGACCACCTGTATCCTGTCTGATCATCCTCTGATGGTAAGTTTTGGAGGGCTGAGACTTTCCACAGGTGGTGTGGTGGGAGGCCACACTGGAACCGTGTTAAACAGTTGATTGGTGTCACTGGTGATCCAGAGGCTGAAGAGGAGTCTGCAAGAAGTTTGAGAGCAAAGAGGCTATGCTGGTCTCCCATATTCACTAATCTGCATTAGGGCACCATTCTGCTAATAGCCTTTATTATTTGCTAATTTTTTTCTAGGTGACTTTGTATAACTATCTTGATACACTCGGCAGCTTAGCACCTGTTGCACACCTAAGTCCTACCAACTATGAGATTAGATTGCCTCTAACAAACTGTTTCCTCTACCCTGCCTGCAAGACTCCGCTAATATTAGACATCCAACCCCACCCAAAAGCATGAGATTCCTCTGTCACCCTTTCCTCAACAGTGCTGTGCTCCATAATGCTGAAGGATGTCAAATAACTCAGTTCCTAATTTACCAGTGTGAAACTCCGAAGCCTCCAAACCTCTGAGCAGACTCAGAACATCAAGCAGTTTGTGCCAAGAGCTTTAGCTGATTAATTGTGTACAGTATTATATATTTGCTGTGATATGTAAAGACCAAGATATATAACTCTTTTGGCTGTTTGTGATATTTTACAGCAAGTCTCCAGGGCAAATAGCTGAAAATGTACCCCTTAGATCATGACTATTAAAGTGGAAGACAATATGGCCAGATATGCTGAGGAGACCTCTCCTTACCCACTGAAGCTATGGGCTGTGTTAAATTTGAGTACACAAACTGTTCTGTAACCACTGGTAATGCCATGTGGGACTTGAAGGTACTGTGAAAATTATTACCCTTTGCAAGGAAATAGAGGCAGGAGGAGTCCCTGTTTCTCAGTGAGAGAATGTGAGCATCAAAAGCAACAGCATGGAACTCTTCATCTAGTGACCGTGCATGCTGGGGAGCTTTTATTTATATTAGTCATGTAAGCATTCAACTGTAACCTGTGGAAGTGTGAACTTCCAAATCAGAGTAACAAAAAATCCTCTCATCTTGTGAAGAGAGGGTGATTTCTCCTAGGTATTTCTTGGCAAAGAAGATCAGCCAGATAACTGGCACGTCCATAAACTGTAATGCTATCTACCTGAAACCACACAATGCTCAGAGGGATGCAATATTCTAACTTGACTTTGGAAATTACCCAGGGAAAAAAAAAAAAAAAAGAATAACAATAATAAAAAGTTATCTCCAATCTGTTTCTTACAACCAAATGCACACTGGTGAGCATGTGCAAGGAGCAGGCACATCACCACCAATAGGCAATCACTTTTGGAAGATGCCTCTGCAAGTTCTTTATCTTCAGAGTTAATCTCTCTTTCTAAAGCACCCACGAATGTGGTAGTAAAGAGCCAATCCAAACAGAGAGGATCAGTGAACCCAAATATTTGGCTGCATTAAAAAATCTGTGAGAATGTGTGTGGTATAAATGTTTAATTCTGTCTTTTTTTTAGATGAGGGAGCAGAGGGTGGAGAAGTGCTATCATCCAAAACCTTACTGGAAAGTCAAGAGGCGGAAGGAAAAAGCAATGATCCTTAACACCTAAGGACTGGTGGATTAATGAAACCCATCGACAGACTTTCCAGTTTCCCTGTGTCACCCCTTCTGAAGTGTGATAGCAACTTTAGCAGCACAGACAAGATTTGCAACACACTTGTACCTAGATTGCATTAACGTGGAACTGCTGTTTTTTTCTACCGTCGTCATTCAAAGCCAATGTTCTACACATCCAAATAGGAAAAGAACTAAAGAATGTATCTCTTGTTTTGGGTTTTCTCATGCTTATAGCATTCATCCCAAGTAATCTTCCTTGACAGTTTCAATTATTATACCTAGCAGATGTACCACCAACTAATGATTGCTTCAGAATAAAACCCCTCTTTCTTAACTTCCCCCCAAATAGATTCTTTCTCGCAGACACAGAGGTGTATTCACTATTCACTCTCCCCACTTTAGGATGATATTAAGTATATATTAGATTACAAACATCTGTAATTTATCTCCTGAGATTTTTTTCTCATTAGACATATGTAGACGGGTGTGAGAAATAAAAAAAAAGAAACATTTTTTTTTTCTCTCCTCCTCATGTCTCCAGAAGGTTTTGTAAACTAATTAAGCAGCAGTGTTTGTTTTCAAACTCTCTTTAAACTGTTTGAGTATGTCAGTTCTCACACTCTTAGCAGTCTTGCCACTTCTGTAATTTCTGTTTTCAGGCTGAATATTATAGCTGTTCATGTGTATCTAAAATAAATTAGCCATGTTTGTAAGTGATTAGATTGGTTTAATCTCACTGTGGAAATTAAATCGCTATCATCTTTTCTGTCTTCTGTTGATTCATTGATGTTTCTCCTGTATGGCAAGACTTAAATCCCCATAATACATATTTCTTTTATTTCATATGGGTTTAGCTTTATTGTTTGCTGACAATGACGTTTCAATCATTGTGATTTTTACAAAGGTTTTTAAGCAAAAGTTTTTCTCTGCTGAAAGAAATTGTTTTGTTATGGAGGTCATGCTCCTGAAAATACTTTGCATTCATTCCCTTATTGTAGGAGACCTAAGATTCAGGTACAGACATGCACCTTTACTGCGGCCTAAGGCAGTAGACATTGATGTACGTCTTGAAACCCAACCAGCACTGACAATCAAATGCTTTTATTTGCTCACACAATCGTTCTGCTGGGGTGTAGCCAGAGGAAGCACCTAATGGTTATGTTCCACATTTGAACAGTATTCCATCTATAAAGTATTTGGGTATTTTATAGCTGGCAGAGAGCTTGTAAGAGGCCTCTCTGCACACCTACCATTCCTATTGCGCACTTACTCACGCACTGTCTCTTGGGGACCATTCAGTAAAGGGTTCAGTTTCATCCAACTGAACAGACGCTTAATTCCCCTCACTTACCTGTATTCATTTAACAAGTGCAACATGGCAGAATTACTTCCAGGTTTGGAAGGGTAAAATACTTTACTCCACTGGAGCAAAACAGGTGGCTTAGGGCTGAGAGCCTGAACTAGCTGACACTGGAGGACCAGAGTTGAAAACTACAGTGGAGAGGGACTTGGAGCTAACTGTTTGTGGTACACACCGTTGTTCTGGGTTGCAGTCCTGTTCTCATATACCAGCCTCCTTTATAGCATCACAGTACATTAAATTGTTCAATTTTAAGAACTTAAAATCCCATGGAAATCGAGTAGCTGAGTATTACTGAAACAGAATTCCTTATATGCTTTAAGTAGAGCACATGCTGAAGTGCTCTTCTGGGTCATGGCCTATATTGAATTATCCTCTTCTTTCACAGTTGCAGCACCGGATATATTTAGATTCTTCTCTTACAGAACGCAGACACTGAAATTTGGGTTACAGGAATAGATACACAAAGTAAGTATTTTATTAGCCTAAGATGCTTTGAAGTTTTTTACTATTAAATCACCAATTATGAACCTGCTGAATTTAGCAAATTGTTCATGTGCTAAATTCTGTATAAAAAGCATTCCACAGCTATATACATATGTGAAGTTAACTGCTCACAGTTAAGTACAGTTTAGAACTAGTCAGAGTGTTCAACACTCTGGAAAATTGGTGCTTACTTTGTCCTTGAGCTGTATGAACCTGTCAGTGAGAAAATGTTGCGTAGAAAGAAGATTAACAGAAAATTAGAAAAACTGCGTAAGAAGTAAAGACTATCAGAAAGATTTAAAATGCAACTCAAAAGCAGGATGACCATTTTTGATCTATAATATGCAGGTCACATATTATACAATCCTCATTTGCCTGTACATTACCTAGTTGCAGATTAACCAAGTTACAGATGCAGAAATAGGTTGCCACAAGCATGTACAGTTTGTGTCTAAACAATTATTAGTCTATGTTGCATGAGAGAGCTCTTTTGTAGTTAGTTCCACCATACAAAATGAATATCTAGTTATGCCCTGGATCTTGTCAAATAAAAGAGCAAATTAAGTGCTTCTGAATACATTTATCACTGAGCCAGTTTAGTTTATCCAGTTCCAACCATTATCCAGGTTATACCACCCTTGCATTGGTTCAGCTAACGGGTAACCGATGACAGTGCATTCTCTTAATCCACAGGGTAACAGTTATGGCCCTGAATCAGCAAAGTGTTTTAAAATGTTCTTAACTTTAAATGCAGACCAGTCCCGTGAAAGTCAATAGAACTACTTAGTGCCTAAAATTAGGTACATACTTAATTACCTTGATAAATTATGGTGGCAAACTTCTATTAAGGCTAATCTGGTATTATAATGCATTAATCCCAATTTCCATTCCAGCAAGCGTGGCACAGGTAATAGCATATTTTTCATCAGCTTACAGCACTATCCTGAGCTTTTATAGAGCAGAGAAATTAATTTTAGTACCAAGCAAAAAAAGGTAGCTTTGTTGTCTGCAAATTTTAGAATTTAATGAAGCAATTATTCATTCTTAGCCGCTCCGCATATTAAAACAAAACAAAACAAAAACAAACAAACCCCCCCACACAAAACAAAACAAAAAGCCAGAAAAATCCTTGTAACTTCATTGTGCATATATAAAACAATTTAGGTTCTTTGATTTAGGTTCTCTTCACGTAAGAGGTAGATGAACGCGCTGAGGTACATCTTTTGTTGCTATAAAACAGGAAAGTTTGTTTTGTTATCTGGAAGGCAATAAAGGACTAAATAGATTTTGAGGTAGGGGACTAATTATCAGAATGTTCTCACTTAGAGAGATTAAAAGAAGTAATTAAGCATTTTTAAAATTAAGATTATTTGCTATGAGTCCTCATACAGCTAACTCCATCTGTGCCGTATACCATCATTCTGGTATAATACTGCATAGGCTAAGCTTGGATGGATGAAACAAGTGGCAAAATTTTAAAAGAAATGTCCAAATCATTGATAGTACAGCAATGTACAAGCCAGATCTAGTTTTCACGGAAGGCAAAGATCAGTTTTATACTAACTACAGTGAGAATTATATCTAACTTTAAGTCATGAGTTACTAATCATACAGAAAATTTCTCCCAAATCAGAAAGTCCATAAACACAAATGTTTTGAGGCAAGGAGGCTAGTCAGTGGAAACATCATATATGTTTGCACTATCCCAGACATCATATTTAGTTATATGGACCTACGATCTGACCTGCAGTGGCCATTTCTCTGCTGTGCAGCTTTCATACAATGGTGATCATGCAAAATAATATAACTGCACTTGCTTTAGTTAAAGATGACAAGAGAGTAGTGGCTAGAAGAGGTTTAAACTACACTTTAAAATCAGTATTTCAAGTATTCTTTATGTATCATACAAAGAGGAATACTTTAAGATTTAGCAAATTACTTAGGACTAACTTGTATTCCTCTCTTCTGTCTGCTGATGCACGAAACGGAATTGAACAGAGGCTTCTGCATGGATTTCTCCCCTGGTTTGGCACAGGCCATATTTGCTGTGCTCAGCAAGCCTAAGTCCCTTAAGCCCCAGCCCCACCATGGTGCATGTGGGTTCCCCAGGATCTGCACAGCACAAGCCGGTGGGGCTGAGCCCACTGGGGTGCCAGGGCACTTGCTCTGAAGTGGTTTAGATGGACATAGCAAGGGCTTAAACTGTTCTGCCATCTAGTGGGATCCTCAGCCTGCCAGGTAGTTTGTGCACATTGTTACCGGGAAGCAGTAATTAATTCACCAAGACTCAATTTTGGAGTTTTAGAAAGCAGGCATTCTTTATTACAGCGCTGGATACGCAGGGGATAGCTCCTCCTAACGTGTGTGTCTGAAAACAAAATCAACAAGCATTTATACTACTTTAATCATACATACTCATTACATTTTTGTCATATTTTTATCATATTCATAACTTTTCCAGGAACTCATTAGCTTATGTTAATGCATCTTGCGCATGTCTGTTGGAGTCTTCAGGTGGTTGTCGGGGGTCTTTAGATGAAGGCTCATAGTCTTCTTCACTGTGTCTGCCAGCTGACCCTTACTTCTGCGCAAACTCAGTCCTGTGGTCACGAATATCTTGTCCTTCAAGGCTGGCCTGGTCTGGTTTTCTTGCTAGTTTGCAGCTTCCTTATCTTTATATTTATTTGCACCTGCTACTACAAGGCCGAACTGTCTCAAGTAAGATTATTTATGAGTTCCTTTATCCTACAGTTATTCTAACTATTCCTCAAAAGATTAATATTTGTTCTACAGCCCAATGGTTAAATGGTTAAAACAGCTTAAATTGATCTTAATAATTCTATTCCTCAAATATCTGTTTTCTGATAATCTTAGTTCACAGGTATCAACATAAATGGAGGGAAACAGTTTAAGAGACCTCAAAACCAGCTGGGAGGTAGCTGCTTAAGAGCGAAAGTGCAAAAAGGGTGCGACCTGGCCTGGTGAGAGGTAGGCTCTCTCCAGCTAATCTGAGACGTTCACTTCAAGGGTTTCACTAAGGGTCCACTACCTTGGTGCCTCTGTGCATTCGGAAAGTTGGGCCATCGCAAACCGGAGATGTCTCACGTCGCTGGGAGCGCTGCTCCAATGGCCCGCTTAAGCTCGGGAAAATAACGCCAGCTGAGGCTCCCCCACTCCCCAGGGCTGCCATTCCGAGGTGTGCGGAGCCACGTCTGGCCCTGCCGGCCTCCTGCCTCCCCGTCAGCAGGCTGGGAAGCCCACGCCTCGCGGCGGGAACTCACCCACACTGCTGGGCAAAGGGAAAATGCCGGGCTTGGGCACCAAGGGGTGAACTAGCCAACAGCATTTTTAAGCTGTAAACTCTGTCATAAAAGAAGTGTCTAGGTCTGGCTTGCAGCCTACCCAGCTTTAGATGCCCATTCTGTGATTTGCGCTAGGGTGCCAATACTAGCCTAGATGATTGGTTTGACCTTTTTTAGGGAGAACTCAGTTTCACCCTCCCCACCTGAAGCTGTTCTACTTTGGATAGTAACTAGCAATAAATGCCGAGAGCTTTTTTGGTTTGTTTTTGTTTATTTGTTTGTTGTTTTTTTTGTTTGTTTGTTTGTTTGTTTATTCCACTGTTCAGCCCAGTGGGGACCAGTACATATCTCAAGATGGTTGGGAACAACAGGAAGCCTGAAGGCGGTCACTCCACCCTGTCCTGTGCCGTGTCCTGATCCCAGATCTCTGGATTTTAATACAAGTTTAAGTTTGATGGAAAATGTTGTGGTTTTTTGGGGTTTTTTTTTGTTTTTTTTTTTTTTTTTTTCAGGATGTTGATACAAAGCCTGGGTGCTGTGGGCTTTTCTGGATTAAACATATATTCAGCAATTGCCTGCAATGTAAAGGGGCCCTGATGTGAGGATTTAAGACAACCC